GGAAGTGATGTCTGGGCAGAGAAAGGTATATAACGCATGAGGAAACAGGAACTCACTCTCTTTAGGCTGAGGATTTTGTAGAGGTAAGAACTAGTGGCTGGCGGCTCTGCTTCTCTGATCTTTCAGCTTTCACCCTGATATCTGGCTCTGGGATTTTTATTTTTTATCTATCTGTCTGTCTGTCTGTCTATCTATTTTTTGAGACAGGGTTTCTCTGTGTAGTTTTGGTGCCTGTCCTGGAAACTAGACCAGGCTGGCCTCGAACTCACAGAGATTTGCCTGTCTTTGCCTCCCGAGTGCTGGGATTAAAGGCGTGTGCCACCACTGCCTGGCTCTGCGTTTTTTTAATTAAAAGACCATCTAAGATTTGAACAACACGTGACACAGTCACACACACAGAGAAAACACACGTGAGACAGACAAAAGACAAACACAAAGGGAATGAACACACGTGAGACAGACAGAAGACACACACATACACACACAGAAAGAGAGGAATACATGTGAGACAGACAGAGACACACAGAATGAACACACGTGAGACACAGGACACACAGACACACATAACGGGTAGGGGAAACATGTGAGACAGTCTGGAGGCCATTTGCTGCTTGGGCCTCCAGAGCAATAAGGAGAGAAGGTACACTGGAGGCAGGACCAGGAGCCCTTCACTCCGCTGTGCGCATGCTCTCTGCTGATGATGTAAGCACAGTCTCACACAGTCCAGCTAGGAAGGGTGGTTTTGGAGCTGACTGCTAAGAGGCACACACAAAGGCCACTGCAGAAATATGAACACATCTGACTACGAAATGTGATGCCAGGCCCCTTGGCTGTTACCTTACACTGTGTGACACATGCACCTTCTTCCATGGTAATATGACATCACTAGGATCTCGGTGTCACACAGGGGGTCATAGATCTGCACTAACCCCTTCACTGTCAACATGCCTTGCAAATCTTGGTCCAGAGCTATCTGAAGCTCTGGAGACAAACCGCCTTAGGACTTTCTGCCTTTGTCTATGATCAGATCTGATCTCCAAGAGGCATCAAGCCTGAAGCAGCAAGAATACCTGCACACTCAGGTTCTTGTCTAAGAGGTCAGAGCTAGGAGGTAAGCCTTGGCTTGGCTTACGTAAGACTTCTTTCACAAACATGCATTTTTAATCCCTTTGAGCTTTTGAAAATCGAATCCACAACACCAGTTTTCTTTTTCTTTTCAGAAGGCATAAGATTTTAATTAACGGACCAAAACCTTGAGGTTTTCTGATGTCAGGGCTGCAAACTCAGGTATCTACAGGGATTTAGTATTCAAATGAGGAACATGCAGATTGTTCTAGGTAAAATGGAACCCCCACTGTGAGGGTGAAGAGGTGTTTGTGTCATGAGGACTTTTACTCTCATATTTAACTCTTTCATTGATTAGTGGGCTAATAAGGAAGTTGCTTGGCTACGGAAGTGAGCTTTCTCTGGTTAGCTTGCTCTATCTTGTCATGTGATGACCACTGTCTGCCATGGCCCAATAGAAGGCTCTCACCTATGCCTAGCAGATCCTGGCATCGTGTTCTTGCTATGAACCAAAAGCAGGTTCTTTTCTTCCTTTTTTATTTTCTTTTTGTTTTTTGTTTTTGTTTTTTTTCCAAGACAGGGTTTCTTTGTGTAGTCCTGGCTATCCTGGAACTCACTATGTAGACCAGGCTGGCCTTGAACTCAAGAGATCTGCCTGCCTCTGCCTCCGGAGTGCTGGGACTAAAGGTGTTGCAGGATATTTGATCACACTGTGAACCCTGAGATTTTGTTAATTAAATAAAATCAACCTTGGTTCAAGAGGTGGAGCTAGCAACTAGTTGACAGGCAGTAGCCATAAAGATTAAGAGGGATTTCAGAAGACAGATACTTTGAGTTTGGTGGTTTTTTTGGTTTGTGTCGGCAGAAGAGAAGCTCTCTTTCTATCTGAGACACTGGCTAAGGAGAAAGGTCAGCTGGTTGCTCCTCGGCCTCTCTGAGCTGGCAGGTTTTGACCCCAGCACCTGATTTCCAAGTCTTTATTGGTAAAATTATAAGACTGAGTTTAATTTAAGAACAACAACTGTATACTGTTATCATAGATCTCAAAGCCAGATACTCTAATTTTTCAAGAGAAATTAAAACACAGATTTTAAATGTGAAGTTGTTTAAGATGAGGTATATTCACATGAGTGCAGGTACCTACAGGGGCTTGCTGTGGATGACTGACTGATAAATAAAACACTGATTGGCCAGTAGCCAGGCAGGAAGTATAGGTGGGACTAGCAGAGAGAACTGAGAGAACAGGAAGGCGGAGAGGAGGAGATGCCAGCCTGCCGTCCAGGGAGCATCATGTAAAGGCAGCAGGTAAAGCCACGGAACACGTGACGACATATAGATTAACAGAAATGGGCTGAGTATAAGACTAAGAGCTAGACAATGGTAGGCCTGAGCTAATGGCCGAGCAGTTTAAATAATATGTGTCTGTATGTTTATTTTATAAGTGGGCTACGGGACTGCCGGGGCTTGGGACCTGGAGAGAAAAACTCTAGCTACAAATGGCGCCCAACGTGGGGCGACAGGAGTTTTCACCCAAAACCTGAGAAAAAAGATTCTAAAATGGAGGCTTGGCGGGACCTAGAGAGAAAAACTCTAGCTACAGGGGCTAGAAGAGGGCGCCAGTCAAGGCTGAGCTCCAGGAGTCCAATTGATGAGAGAGAGGAGAGATTCTATGAGCAAGGGACATTGAGATCATGATGGGGAAACATACAGAGACATCCAGCCAAACTAGTGTAAATGTATGAACTGTGGACCAAGAGCTGTGGAGCCCCCATGGGACTGGACTGGGCCCTCTGGATGGGTGAGACAGTTGTTTAGCTTCAAATGTTTAGGAGGCCCCCCCACAGTGGGATCGGAGTCTGTCCCTGGTGCATGAGTAGGCTTTTTGGAGCCCACTACCTATGGTGGGATACCCTGCACAGCCTTGGTGCAGGGGGAGGGGACTGGACCTGACTCAGCTCAATGTACCAGGCTCTGCTGACTCCCCATGGGGACCTTGCCTTGGAGGAGATGGGAATGGGAGGTGGGTTGTGGGGGAGGAGAAGGAGATCTGCCATTGGTATGTAAAATGAATAGAAAATTTCTTAATAATTAAAAAAAAAATTAAAAAAAAGAAGAGGGCACCAGTTCTCCCAGAACTGGAGTTCCAGGCAGTTGTGAGCACCCAATCTGGGTGCTGGGAACTGAACTCAGGTCTTCTGTAAGAGCAGAAAGCACTCTTAGTCACTGAGTCCATCTCTCTAGTCCTCCTAAAATGTGAAACTTTTAATTGATTGATTTTGGCAATGCTAGGGATTGAACTTGGGGCCTTCAGGTTAGGAATATGCTGCTGCTCCCCTTTTTCTTGGTTTTTTTTTTTTTTTTTTTTTTTTTTAAGACAGGGCTTCACTGTGTAACATCCCTGACTGACTGTCCTGGAACTCACTTTGTAGACCAGGTTGGCCAAGAACTCATAGAGATCCTCCTACCTCTACCTCCCGAGAGCTGAGATTAAAGTTGTACCCCACCAGGCCCAGATCTGGCATGCCAATTTTTAAAACAATGAAGATGGCGGTGTAGGCTAAACATACGCATACTCGCGTGACCTCTACATGCTATACTGTATGCTTTTTTTTTTTTTTTTTTTTTGGTTTTTCGAGACAGGGTTTCTCTGTGTAGCTTTGCGCCTTTCCTGGAACTCACTTGGTAGTCCAGGCTGGCCTCGAACTCACAGAGATCTGCCTGGCTCTGCCTCCCGAGTGCTGGGATTAAAGGCGTGCGCCACCACCGCCCGGCGCTATACTGTATGCTAAGTGCTGGGTCCTTCAAGGTCTTTGACTGGCTGTTATATTGGTGAATTCCAACGAACTAATCTTTCAGGATCCACAGAACTTCCCACACTCACTATGGACATATGACTTGATTTGGTTAATGGAGCAATCAGAGTTTGATAAACATTTGTTGATTGGTCTTGTCTTTTTTCGAGCCACCCTCCAGAGGCTTGAATGATTAAGAAGCCAGTGGAAAAGAGAGGCTCCAGAGGATGAGAAATCATTTTGAATATGTTCCCAACTGATTACAGGCCCATGTGTAACCTCAGCTTATATCACATTGATCCAGATGAGCTTGGCTAAACTATGCAATCGTAAAAAATAAACCATTGTTATTCCAGGCTACCAAGTCTTGGCAGGGTTTGTTATGTTACAATAGGTAACTGAAACAGAGGTCATTTAACCTGCCCTCCTGTCTGGTGAAATCCAGACAGCAAGGTAATGGCAGGAACTCTTAATTCTGGGCTTTTCTCGGTTGCTTTTCTTTCAATCTCTTGGTGAAAGCCACCAGATAAAGATCATAAAATTTCAAACTCTTAACGGCAGTAAATTTATACCGTGATTTGGATGTATACTGATCTCTGGAAATGGAAAGAGTTCGAAAGTCATTCACTGCACTGGGGCAGAGAATTGAAAAACACTTGAGAAACGGGAAAGCAGTCTCTGCCATTGAGAAGTGGGCTGGGTACAATCATCCAGGCCCTTGATGATAGCCAGAGCCTGGCCCTTACAGCTAGGTCTCCTGTAAAACATAAACAACTTCACAGACCACTAACATCACATAAGGATATTCTGTGGCCTTATCTTATGGATCAAGACAAAAACAAGACCACTCACTCCATAATCATTTGTGAACACAGATAAAACATGACCATTATCCAAGCCACACACACAGCTACAAAGACTAAACACTTGAATCTGGCTAACATGAGGGGCTGTCACCAATTACTACTTAGCTTCAATCTAACTTCCCCCAGATAAGACTGTGATGTCTAATCTTAGAATTACTCCCACTTTGCTCCAGGGCCTCTTCAAATCCTTTTCTACATTACCTAAGGTCTCCTACTGAGACGACCACGATTCATCATGACGAATGTTCTCTTGTGCTTCAGCTAGAAATAAACCCACCTTGTTCAACTATCAGCGTGTTCCTGGAGGATTTTGGTTCCAGGGTACTGACAGACTTGGAGAAGAAGATCACAGAGTTAGAGGCAGAGTTCCCTGGAAGTCTCCAGTTGTGTTCTTTCATAGCATCTCTAACTCTCGGTTAATGTCTGCTGTTTTTCCATTAGAATTAAGCTTCCTGAGAACAGGGGTCTCTCCTGTTACGTTCGGAGTTGATTCCCAGTGCTTAGGGCAGTACTCAGTAGAAACTGAATGTTTAAAAATAAATGTTTTCAGAACGAACAGCTTCCTTCTCATGGCTCAGAACCTCCCAGTCAGTGTAGCAGATCTTCATACACCTATTTCCCCACTCAGTCTCCAAACACTTCCTCTAGAGATGTCCATCTTCCCTTGGCTGCGTCCTCGGGCTCTCGGTCCCTCTCCCACACTTCCTAGTGCACCTTGGGCCCACCTGTCCCTACCAAATGCAACACACACGAAGCGGCGGCGCAGCCACCTACGCGAGCGGCACTGCAGACACCTAGGGCGCATGTGCGGAAATCGGTCGCACCGCAAAGATCTCAGACCTAAGTGAAGAGTTGCTTTCGAGTTTCCGTCCGGGTCCGGGCAGCCCCAGGCTGCCAGGAAGTCAGGAACGACCAGCCGGAAGGAGACCTTGCGCGCGGGGATTTCTGGGACAAGTAGTCGCGGCACTCACGAGGCCCTACCCTGAGCAAGCCCTAGATTCTCCAGGTCTGCACGTCCCGCACTCCCAGCCCTGTGCTCCTCGAAACGCACCCTCTACAGTGGAGAGCCCCGGCAGAGTGGGCCGGACGGCTTCTTGCTCCCACAAGGCCGCGCGGCGAGCCGCGGTGGTTGTCGGGAGTTGTAGTCAGCTGCGCGTCCTGCGTCCGCTGAGTGGGAGGGCGGAGCTGCCGGCGGCCCGGGCGGGCTGGCAGCTGGAGTGGGTGCGAGAGCCGCCTCCACCGCCGCCGCTGCCACCGCCTCCTCCGCCCGGGCCGTTCGCTGCTGAGCGGGGAGAGCGAGGCGGGGCCGCCGGGGCCGCCATGGAGCCCGACTCGGTGATTGAGGACAAGACCATCGAGCTCATGGTGAGTGCGGCCCGCTGGCCCTCCGTTCTTCCGGCCGACTGGCGATCCGGGGGCCTGCCCACCTCGGCGTCCGCGCCAGGCCAGCCCTCGTTCCCTGCCGCCCGGGCCCGGCCGGCCCCCTGCTGTGGCTCGTTGCTGACGCCTCGCGCTCCCAGGCTGTCCCGGCCTCCGTCCCCCCCCCCCTCCCGCCTGCCGGGCTCCGACCGGTCTCGGGCGCCCCTGCCTCGCTCCTCCGGGAGCCTCCGCTCACTCTCGCCTTGCCATCGCACTCGTTTTAGATTTCTTTTCCCTTCCCATTCCTCCGGGCAGGCCCGCATCGCGCTTCCCACCCGCGCTTAAGCCGAGGGTGATGGTGGTGGGAGGGAGTCCGAGACCAGTTGGGGCCGCTTCGGCCTCCGTAACCTAGGCGTGCGGGGGGGGGGGGGTGTTAGGGGGGCTCTCAGCACCTTCTCCCCAAGCTAAGGCTGTGTGGATGCCGGGATAGGCCCCGTAGGGCTGGGATGTTGGGGGTGCCCTCGAGTCTGAGGCTTGCGGGATATGAAGCCTCTTTTCTGGGCCCCTGTGGTGTCAGGCTTCTTGGACAAAGGGTTTCCTACCCTGCCGTGAAGGATGTTTGTATAGCAAGGCCCCAGGTACTCTAGATTCCATCCTCCAGGAAAGGGAAACCATAACTTTATCATTTGGGAAATGAGAGGGGAGGGGGAAGGGGTCGTCCTCATCACCGCCCCCCGCTCTTAAAAAGAAAAAAAGGGGCGTTCTTGGCCCACAGAGATGCAGCGATCCCTTTTACTGTTAGAAACCATTGGTAGCCAGACTGATGAGGTCTCCCCGGACCCACCTAACCCCTTTCTGACCTCAGACTTGGTGCCAGAAGGGTTTTGGAAACAGGACTATGAGTGAGTGGCTGGGAGAAGTGAAGAATTTGCTCATTGGTGGAAGAAATAAAATATGGCTGGTATTACCTGCCAATTTGAATGTGAGGGAAATCAGACCAGGCTTGGGAGAGTGGGGAGGCAGTCAGCCTCTGCAAATGGCCATACAAAGGAGACCGTTGATAGTTTCTTTGTATCTCCGCTAATACAGTAACAACTAGTATCTATCTGCCCCCCATGGTAGCGAGGAAAGCTACAAGATCTACTGAACTTAGTAAGACGTTTTCCTAGTCAGATTCTTTCCAGTGTGAAAATGCTTATTGAGTCACTGATTCCGCTGGGTAGGGTTGGTGACATCAGAGCCACTTCCCCCATTTAATGCTATAAATAATAAATGGTGATACTGAAAGTCTGTTGGATAGCCTCATGGTTTCTGTGGATGATGTTATCCAGGGAGTTGAGGTATACGTTTTAAAATGGAAGTATAGTAGCGTAAAATAAATACCGAGGTAGTCTCATGTCTGCTGGCCTCTGCACAATGTGCAGAACTGAACTTGTTGAAAATTAGCGGGGGTGGGGGAGACCTCTAGTAGTTCTTGGGGTGTGTGTGTGTGTGTGTGTGTGTGTGTTCGTGTGTTCAGAGGGATTCTGTCACTTGAGGGATTTTGATTTTTAGGTACTGAGGAATTTTTCCTTTTCAACATCAGATGGTTGGTTATAGCAGTTTGGGCAAACTTCTGAAGTGGGTTATTTTAACAAAATATCATTTAAAAATGGTTGTTTATGTATTATTGTGAATGGATACATGCACAAGAGGACAACTTGCAGAATCACTTCTGTCCTGCCTTTAGTGAGTACTGGGAATTGAACTCATGTTGGCAGGCTTGTATGTTCAAATGCCTTTGACTGAGCCATCTTGCTGACCTCTATTTTCGAAAAGTATCTTCAGACATGCTCCATCTTCTTAAAGATTAACAGTACATCTGCTTTTAGGGTGACCAGTGCTTCATACTGAAACACATTCACTTAAAACAACCCAAACACAGTCTTCTTCAAAAGCTGTATAAGAAATACAGTGTGTCCCAAGGCATGGTCTGTTAGTATGTGACTAAAGAAAGACTCTGTCCCACATTTACTTGCTTTCTATGCATATAACTAAAAAGTTTTGTTTTGGATGCTGGGGTGCACCTCAGTGGTAGAGCACAGGCTTAGTTAGAACCATGAAGCCTTGATGAGTGGCTTAGACTTTGTGTGATAATATGTGCTGTTACGCCGAAGAGATGTCAACCCAACATTTAATAAAAGCTGTAGTAGTCATGAGCAATTTTAAAATGGTTTTAAGGATTTTTTCCCTCGAAGGTGGAGTCTCTTAGGACCCCTGGGCAATCTTCTCCATGAATGGTAGGTGTTTGTTTTAGTGCAGTAGATGGCTCAAGTGCTTGGCCACTGAAGAAGTCTAGCATCAATGGACAGATCAGAATGTCTTTAAAATCCAGGCTCATCTGGCTCTCTGTATTATTACATTTCAATTATAGTTTCCAGAAATTGGTTGAAAATACATTTAATAATGACTTCAAAATAACATGATTGAAAGAGGAGAACTGGTTAAATTGATGGTATTTTGGAAGCCTAGAGCATAAAATGTTTCAAATTTTTGTGAGTCCTCTTCTGGACTCAGATACTTAGTTTTGGTGCCTCTGTGAGTTTGGTACCTAATGGTTGACAAGGTACGGTGTGTGCTGTTTCAGATTGCACTGCATTAAAAAGAGGAAACTGGCTTTGTGTCATCTTCAGTTCTTAATTGTCAACCTTCTACTTTGATTTTGATTCATCTTTTTCTCTTGTACTTGGTAAGACTCATGGCAGTCTTGTTGGCAGCCTCTTGGGTGCTGGGGTTACAAGTGTGAGCCACTATATACCTTTTTCTGTTTCTTTTTTTTTTTTTTTTTTTTTGGTTTTTCGAGACAGGGTTTCTCTGTGTAGCTTTGCGCCTTTCCTGGAACTCGCTTTGGAGACCAGGCTGGCCTCGAACTCACAGAGATCCGCCTGGCTCTGCCTCCCGAGTGCTGGGATTAAAGGCGTGCGCCACCACCGCCCGGCCTTCTGTTTCTTTTTACAGTGCTTGAGCTCAAAGCCAAGCTTGGCTCATGCTAGGCAACTGCATTAAGCTACCTCCCTCTAGTCCATTTTTTGTTCTTATTTTATTTTTTATTATTATTTGGTTTTTCGAGACAGGGTTTCTCTGTGTAGCTTTGCTCCTTTCCTGGAACTCACTCTAGTCCAGGCTGGCCTCCTGGAACTCACTCTAGCCCAGGCTGGCCTCGAACTCACAGAGATCCGCCCGGCTCTGCCTCCCAAGTGCTGGGATTAAAGGTGTGCGCCACCACCGCTCGGCTAACTTATTTTAAACATTTAGGAGAAATTAAAGCTACTTATAGTGGAGACTATATCTATAGTTTACTATAGTACACACTTTGCTTGAGTTCTACCTCTAGCAAGGAGGTGGTTGGAGGACAAAGATGGTAATAGCGGAATAGTTAAAGTTTCAAAATCCAATTTCCCACTTGGTGACTTTCATCCTTATTGGAGGCCTGGGTCTGCCAAAGGTGCTTGCATGTCTCTGGCATTCTGCATAGGACTCTGACTTTAATAAAAACTGTAAAGAGTGCTTTCGCTCCCCCCCTCTTTTCTCCACTTTCTCCTTTTCTCCGTTCTCTTTCCTCTCTTATCTGCCTGCCCCCTCTCTTTCTTAACACACATTCCCTTTACTGACTCCTTGCCCTCTTCTAGGGTCTCTTGTAGCTCAGGCTGGCCTGGGATTTTGTGGCTGCCCTTGAACTCCCAATTCTGTTGCTTTTGCTTTCCACGTGCTGTGATTATGGGTCTGTGCCACCATCCTCAGCAAGGTGATAAATAAACTCTTGATAGAGACAATGAATTTATAGTTGCTGATAGTGAGTAATTTAATTGCCATGTGGCTTTCATGGCTTTGTACTGGCCCAGTGTTGGGTCAACTTTATGGACCTGTTTTCTAAACTTCTTTGTAACAGTCATCTTTATTATGAGTGAGTTAGAACAGCAGTGATCCGTTTTGGAAATAGAGTTCACCAGGCTGTGGGTCTGGTTTATGGATTTCACTGGAAAGAATGCAAACTTCATTATGCATCACATTCAGTTTGGAGCATGAGTTGATGTACGGGCACTCCTTAGGAAGCACTCATAAGAGCTGCGGATTGACAGAGAGATGGCTAGTTTTTCTCCCATGAAAAGATAGCAAAATGCGGCTAACGGTTGTAGGACACAAACCAGTGGGTAAAGGTGCCACACAAACCAGCCACCAAGCCTGACTACCTAAATGCCATTCCCTAGGACTTACAGAAGAAGGAGAGAACAAACCTCCGGAAAACACCCTCCCACACCAACTCACATAAATAAATGTAATTTTAAAGAAGTTTAAGGATTGCTGGGTGGTGGTGGCCTACACCCTTAATCCCAGCATAGGGAAGTACATCTCTTGAGTTCAAGGCCAGAGTGAGTTCCAGGATAGGACAGATAGGGCTACATAGAGAAACCTTGTCTCGAAAAACAAAAAAAAACAAGTTCAAGGATGATAGTTTTGTTTTGTTGTTGTTGCTTTGTTTGTTTGTTTTTTGTTTTTTCTGTAGACCAGGCTGGCCGCCTTGAACTCACAGAGATCCACCTGGTTCTGCCCCCGAAGTGCTGGGATTAAAGGCGTGTGCCACCACCGCCTGGCTTTTGTTTGTTTTTGAGACAGGATTTCTCTGTGGATAGTT